CAGTAAAAAGAAAACAAACTTCAACAAGGAGGGGTAATAGGATCAGATAAAGAAAAAAAGTGTAGGCTGAATATCAGGGAAAATCTGTAATATATTAAGATCTCAGGGAAATGGAGGAAGATCCGTGATTAAACCAGATAAAATCCCTACCAGAGGGAAATTAAGGGCAACTCCACATTATCACGGAGATGGAGTCTTCTCTATGTTTAGGTCTTTGGGACAATTCAGTCCTCATGAAAGCCATGGAATTTGTCACTATCAGCTCAGGGGTTTTTTTACTACTTTTATGTGCAGACAGAAGGGCAACAACAATAGTTTGTTAATAAATAATGTCAGAACTGCATCCTGAAACACCACCAGGATGTCAGCAGAAAAACAAGGCTGCTTTTGTTTGTTACACTGCGTAATGCCTGATGGGTTTTAACCACAGTTTAGGAGCTACTGTTAAAAAGCTTCTTGCTGAGTCAAGCCTAGGCATGCTGTTTACAAGGGTTAGCCCTGAAGGCTCTTGCATTGGCAGAGACTTTTAAGCTGAGCTAAGGAGTTTTTAGTTATTTTTGTTGTGCTTTAAAAAAAAAAAAAAGTTGAGAGTAGCTAAGCACACCTAAAAGTGGGGAGTGGAAGGGAGCTATCAGTAATCACCTGCTGCCTCTGCCAGCAGCTTTCCTCTGTAGTCAAGGGCTTGATCTTGCAAAGCTGATGCTAAGAGTCCCCTTGGTTTAAAGCGGAGGGAGTTATTGCAGAGACTGGGCCCCAGTGGAGTAAGCTTTTGTGAAGCAGCTCACTAAAATATGAAATATCCCCTTTGTTAGAAAAGGACCTCCTCTAACTAATTCCGAAGTGAATTTGGTTCAGCTTTGAACCTGCTGAAACACCCTGGCTGACGACTTTTGCTCTGGTAACACTGATCTATGTTCTGTCTACAACCAACAGGGCAGAGTGAAATTCTGACAAATCAATAAAAGCTGCATGCAGAAAAGTGCATATAACACCCACCATTGCTCTTCCACAGAGCCTGGGCCATCCTGTGCTGCGGCAGAGGCGAGGTTCCCAGGGAAAAACAGTATGTGGCTGTGTAATTTAATACATTATCGCAGCGGCGCACAAAATGAGTCAGAATCACAAATTTATTTTTCTGTCATTTCTTAGCTTTTGAGTGCTGTATTTTGCAATCTTAATATTAAACAATGTTGCTTTGTGGAAGTGGTACCTCATAAAATTTATATGTACCAATACAATTTCCTTTATTCATTCTGCTCTAACTCTGCAGTCCTGGAAGAGATTTCATCCCATACTCAGTTTTACTCCATTCTGCATTACATCCTTTCTCAGTGTCCACTGGGCTCCAATCCTGCCTCTCCCCCCATCCTCCATATGACCACAAGCTCACAAGCATCAGAATCCAGGACGATGCCTTGAACCCACAATATTCCTGTTGGTTTGCACTGCAGAGAGCTCAAGGATCACCTGAATGAAATACTTTCTTTTTCTAGACTACCAAGCAAGCACCATGATTCTGCCAAATTGTTCTTAAAGCCAAAAAAAGATGTCAAAAAAAGAGGGAGTGGTGTATCACCAAATAAGTAAAACCAACGGAGGTTGTACAAAAAAGTGAGTTGTCCTAATGACTACAGAAACACTATTTTACCCTGAAAAAAAATCTCTAGAAGTATATGTCAAGGCAATACCAATGTGACCTGCTTCTGGACGTATACAATAAATGCTCAGTGATTTGGAAGAAAACTCAAGCCCTGAAAATTATTTGTCATGCTGTTTAACAAGGAAATGACTGAGAGATAAGGGCTGACAACAGTGAGCAGAAATGCAGCAAATCTTTCAGGCCTCTGTCTTGTCATGTGGATCTTTTATTACTTGAGTTTTCCATATTCCCAACCATATTCTCAAGAAAAGGGTCCCACAGGTGCTCCTGCTCAAGAGAGCCTTGAAGATGAGTTCCTTCCAGTTAGGATAAAATAACGTATGTTCTCATTAGGCCAAATGCAAACAGTGATGAAGGGGAATGCACTGCCATGTCACATCGAGCAATCAGGAAACAAACCTTTGACATAATGCAGCAGGCAGATAATAAGACCCCATAGTTAGCAACAAATGAGACTACACTTAATTTGCTGTGCAATGTTCATGTAATTAGATAAATTTGGTACCAGCAAGACAGCAGACAGCTAGAATATGGGCTTGATGAATTGGGGGCTCTCTGTCAGGCACCGATCACATTAATCATAAAGCCAAAACTCAGTGACACAATTTTTCTTCCAAACATTTACCATAATTTTCTAGAGTGAAAATATGCACATGCCTTTTTTTTTTGGAGTTGTTTACTTTAAACAGAAGGATGGATTTCTGCACCACCAGGGTGGAGTTCAAATTTCTAGAGGCTTGACCGTGCCTGCAGGGTCCATCTAGCCTAGTGAACAAGAGACAGGCAACTTCTATGCATGCTCTAACCCAGTTCCACCACCATGTTCTGGATCATTTCATGTTGAACATCCTCCAACGTTATCGTCTCCAGAGCAGACTGGAGGAGAGAAGAGGAAGACAAAAGAGAAGTAGAACAAAAACTAGAGGAGGAAAGGGCAGGAGATGCAGTTAAGATATTTGCAGATAAAATTGAAAGAGAAAAAATGGTCGACAGACTAACTCCACAGCTAGTGAGAATTTTCCCAGTGTGGTTGTGCTGTAGTCCACGGCAGTTGGAAAAGAGCCGAACAGAAGTGGCATTCCCTTGACCCTAAAAAAACCCACAAACAAGAAGCAGTTGGCTGCTCAGCTTTGGCGCTTCACCAGCCACAGAGGCAACCTTCAGCGCAATGCCCAGGTAATAAGACTGACCTTATCAAACATTTCAAAGAAAACTATATTTCCTCTTCTAAGACCAAAACCCAAGTTTTCTCTCTGGTACCTCACAAGTTGTTTTTGTGAGAGGTGCTGCTGGGAAGGTGAAAGATCCCAAAGAAGAAAGACAATAGGTATTTACCAACAACTCTACCCACGTACTAAGCAGGACTCTCTTGTTCCCCTGACAGACAAATGTGGTCACTGCTAAAACAGTGGATTATTAATATTGGCACAGGTGAGCTGAAACCTGATCTGCTAGCACTGTACACTTGGCCAGGCTTTATCAGTTGGACAACCCCAATATCATAAAATACTGGCTCCCATCACTGGATGTTGATTCACAGGTACATGGCACCAGCTGGTGAGCTCTCGGTTGCGTTCTGGAGAAGACCCTGCTCCATGACCCCACTGAAGAAGCTGCTGCAGAGGCAGCACACCCTATCCTGCCCGCGAGGAGCGAAGGGGGGCACCGACTGGGGCACACAAATAACCTGGTGTGAAACATCTGAGCATCTGCCATCCTCTCTTCTAACCACTGCTTTGAATATTGCCCCTTTCAGAAGTCAGTATGCTTTATTAGCCAGAGCTCTGGCTTATTAACTATCTCCCAGTACGTTTTGTTATTAATCTTTCTTTTTTCTACACTTTTGCATGTACTTGCACGCAAGACCAGAACTATTTCATTCAGCCCCCCCAGCCCCCTCCAATTCCCATGTTAGCAACCTGCTCTGTCTTTTCCCCTTTGCACACAGCGTGGAAGGAGCTGCTCTGCGCCTTTAAACATCCAGTCAAACTGACTACCAGCCAAAAAGACAATGACTTGTCTTCTGGTAGGATCCAGGGGAATGCCCTATCCTTTTTTCCTGCAGCATTTTGGAAGTGGAATAAAGCCCTCGTAGCTATGGGACTCCACAGATCTCCTGGCTGCCGCTGTCTGCGCTACTTGCCTCCCAGGGGCTGTTCCCCAGCTCACACCTATCCAGAAAAAGCACAGCTCTACAAACAGCCCCTGCAAAGCTGGGTGAGCGCTGACCCCGTCCGGACGGCGAGCTGCAGTGGGGCTCTGAAGTCAAAAGAGGGATCAGAGTTTTTTAAGTGATGAGCCCTATTTGTTCTTCCCTTGCTCTTCCTGAAAAATATTTCCAGCCCTTATGGGTTCCCCTACACTGGGTACCCTGGGACCTGTCCCTCAGCTGATGGCTGAGCCCTGTGTTACAGCCATGGATTGAGCGATTTCAGGGCAGCCGTGGGACCACCAACCCCATCAGGCTGCTCCTCACCTCGCACGGGGATGGTGTGTTTTAGGGATGAGGAGAAACCCTCCTGGCCACATAGTCACTACAGCCTCTGCTCACGTTTCTGCTGGCTCCTTTTTCCCTGCCCTGGTCAAAGCTTACAGGAGGTGAACCCAGATCTCTCTATAAACATGTCCTCCAAAGCGTCAAGGACTATTGAGCTGTCATGTCCTGGATGAGATTAACCACGATCCCCCCTCTCAGGGTACAGCTCCCAGCTGGTGCCTGTGCTCGCTGGCCATCAGCTGCCCTGGGGAGGGGAGAACCTCGTGAGGAGGTCACCACCGAAACACAGGGTCCTGCCCCTCCAGAGCGGACATGGACACCCATGTGAGGATCTGCCTCTTTACCGCATTTTAGAAAACACCATCCATTCATCGTCTGGTGAAATCAAAGTGAATTACGGTATTCCCAGCAGCCTCTCCCCACCGTTCCCCCAACCAGCGGGCAGGGAGGAACGGTACGCGAGGTCGCGAAATGGAGGGAGCAGTGCCAGGTCTTCACCAAGATGGTGCCAGAAACGACCCAGGCATGGTGCGACATGAGAAACACTGTGGGCGCAAAAACTCAAGTCAAGCCTGTCCCCAGGACCTCAGCTGGATAACAAGACAGAAGCCCTGCACTCCCATCCCACCGCTACACGGCACTTCTATAGGTTTAACGGAGCTGTAGAGCACTCCTGCCAGGCAGGTCAGTATTGCCACCGGACAGGGACAGCAGGGCAGGGGGTGGCCAGCGGGGCCAGCCTGCCAGGAGGGCAGCAAGTCCCTGGGACCTGAGCAGCGGGATTCGGCGTACCACAGGCGGCCACATTTTAGCAAGGCATGGGAGCAGAGGTGCAAGACTTACCCGTGGATAGCGTGGATAGAGTGAGGTTCGTAATGGTATCGTCCTTCCTGGTGGCGCATGTCAATTGGCAAAGGAGCGTGGAAGGCCGGAAAAATGTGCTGCGGCACTGTTGAGGGGAATAGAAGAAGAAAAAAAAAAAGGGACTTCAAAAACTTTTCCTTTCCTTTTAAAACAATTTCAAAGGCACTAAATCTCCATGAATTTCAGAGCAAGAGCAGAGCAAGACAAGGGGTCTTCATGATATCAGCGCTATCATACACCAGAGAAGTGGAATGAATAAATAATCAAAGTCATGCGGAGAAATCCTACATCTTCGACATAAAAGATCTCCAACAGGGTTTTTGACAAAGACAAGCAGCTAAGCGCTCTTTGAACTTGAGGAGATTATAGGAAGCACCAAGGAAAACTAGACTTGCAACGCAAATCAGACTCAACAGAGCCTGGCGGGATCCAGACCTGCGTCGTCCCTCATGCCTGGAGTGGCAGCAAACACTTTTCCTGAAGGTCTGTACACACAGGTTGGAAATATTTACCTAAAAATGTAACAGCGAGAGCAGCGCTAATGCAGACCGTCTAGGCAGTCAGAAGAGGCTCAAAAGTGCCTACTGCCAGGTTCTGAGAAAGGAGCCCAAATTGCTCTCTCTTGTAATCACTTGAGGCCCTATTTTTTATTCATTTGAGAAGCTTGTTTCATCTTTGATGGAAAGATAAAGTGGTCTCAAAAGGCAGAGAACACCTACATTGACTTATTAAATCTACAGGTTTTAATATTTATTATTGACCCCAAAAGTTAACAGTGAGAATATTTGAGTGAGTCGAGCTGATAGAAAATTCATCAGGTTATTTCTCCACACCACCCCCAACAACGCTGTCTGGTCGCCTGGGCCTTTCCTGCTAAAATTACAGAAGCTAAAGAAATACAATTAGCAGAGCCTCGATAATGATACCATACAATCGCCCTCTGATAGGGCTCGTCGCATCTGTAACGATGCCGCTTTCTAGATTTGTACCAGCGACCGGCTTAAAGATAAAAGGCTGGTCTTGCTCTGCCTTTACAAACAGTCAGAAGTTCTTCATTAAAGTTTACTTAATATTGTCAGAGGTTTTCCCATTCCCGCTCCGGCTTCTTGGCCTTTCTGTCTAACTGGAGACTAAAAGCAAAACAAAACCAACCTCCTAAGAGAGCGTTTCAAAACCCAGTCTGCACTCAGTATTTCACTGTGACTTGCCTTCGCGACAGGTAGCATCTCTCTGTAGAGTGGGGAAGCACCATCCAAAACCAAAGTGTCAAAGCTTGGGCCAAGTCTCTCACTGATGCTCAGCTCCAGTAAACGCCAAACTCTTTTCTACGAAAGACTTAAAATTCAGCCTTTCGCATCTGTGACTCCAGCTGCAACAAAGCTACGCCGACTCCGTCCGGCGAGGCTGTGCTCCTTGTGGGTCCGTCGTGCAAAGCCTGCGTGAAATCCCCGTATACGTCTTTCCTGGCATATCAGCAAGAGGATCTAAGGCTCCTACTCCCATTGCAACGTACAATCCCTCAGCACAGCGCGGCACAGGCGCGTCAGCCGGGCTGCCGGGAGAGGTGAAAGACTACACAAAAACAACCCTCCTGCCAACTCTGCTGAAAGGCGTTAAGCTAAGGTAGTCGGTGTGGAAAGTATTTAAGGCTCCACAGCAGACTTGCTCTCCGTGCTCCAGCGAAGGGCTGGCACCGCACACTACCTGATACACTGGGAGCATTTTTGCAGCTCGCCTAATGTCAGGACACAGTAGGGTAACTGTTAACCGCCTTCCCCCCTTCTGCTCCCCTCCCCTCCTCCCCCAAAAGCAGCTCAGGGAGAGAATAAACTTGCACCCTTTAAGATTTGCTTTGGTGGGAGGAAGATTCACCCTTTAACCGTCCCGGGTAGGGATGATCTGTTACATAAGGACACTTGTAAGGAGTCTTCATTTTAAGAGGCAGCCAGTGTTTTTCCAGGTCAGAAATGCAGCAAAGTTCAGCCGTCACACCCCGTCCCCCGCTCACATAGCACCATACAGCCTCTGGTCTCCCCAAACCGCGCTCAGCCCAAAACATTGCCAGAGCAGGCAGGCACCTAGAGCTGCTGCACTTGTCCCTGGGGACACTGCTACGGCCACAGCCCACGGCTGCTGTGGGGACCAGAGGGAGTGGAGCAAGGAGGTTTCACATCATCACGCACCAAGCATGGTCACAAAACCAACTATCCCTGCACAGACATCTGATGCCGGACAACACAAACATCTCTTCCAGCCTGGGCCCCGAGGCTGGGCTTCCTGCAGTTCTCATGCCGTATTTATGCCATACAAATAAACCCAACTCTTCTGTGGTCCTGGGGCCAACCTACACAGCCCAGCTGGCATCCCTATAGGTGAAATTTTGCAACCTCCCAAAACAGGGTGGCCACTCTGCCTGTAACGGGCAGGTCCAGGGCTGAGTTAACCCCCAAACTGCAGGGAAGTGCGAGTTGACATGGGCTGAAACTGTGCTGGGCATTGTGGTAATGTTTTAATAATATGGAAAGTCATATTCTAATCCTTGGGCTCATTCCCTGGACCAGTTTAATTCACTAATAATGATAAAACTATTAAGAATAACAGGTCAAATGCTGAATCTCTTAAAACCCAGGCCAGTTATGTTTTATTTTGTAAGTGTGCATTTTTAAATGATTGATTGCCGAGGTAATATCGGAAATTTTTGTGCAAAAACAGTCTTTCCCTGTCACTCAGGAGAGCTGGGGAAAAGAAAACACAGGGTGTTTGCTGTCTGGCCTGCTTTCCTAGCTATCTGTTGGTATAAAAATGACATCTGAAGAGAATTTCTTCCTCCTCACACCTCTGATTATTAGTGGGAGGAAAATTTCCATGAACTTCCTCCCTCCCACTGGCACCGTTGGTTTGATTTTAGCATTTCAACCTATTTGGACTGCAGGAAGGTCAGCAACGCCCCTGCCTTGGGTGCCTGTTTCACCCCGCCACTCTCATTTCCAACCCCACCACGTACTCCGTGTTTTGCTGCTGCCGAGGGCGAGGGGAAGGGTTGTTTTTGGTGACGTCCCTTTGCAATGTCCCACTTCAGGGCTTCCCCTCTGCTCCCCTGCCTGGGAGCACCAGCCAAGCCTATGGGCTCTGGTGGCTGGTGCTGTTCCTTTTTATTCTCTTCCAGGTCCTTGGTCAGAAATAATGAATGGTTTTATAGGCAATCAACTACCAATTCATAAACGTCAGCCTGGCTCTGCTTCTTGTTCCCACCCCTCCCGAAGAGGACGGCGAGCTGGCAGCAGGACAGCAACACACGCTGTTAACAAAGATGGATGTTTTACACATACGAGTTAAAAAGACAATTATATTCAATTACTTCAAGTAAGTCATGGTGATGTATTTCTAAATAGCCACGAGAAGGGCAATATGATGATTAGGGCAATGAATTTGCCAACTTTAATCTAATCAAGGCAATCTTTTGTTTAGCATTATCTGCTTTGCGGTGGCAGAGGATTTACCAAACCCAAGCAATCTTTGCAGATTTAACCCCAAACCTGTCCAATTAATGCTAATGATGATTGTTTTACACAGAGGGAGGAAGCTTTTAGCAGGAGGCCTGGGGAAAGCTTTCCCCCAGGAAAAAGTTGGGCCACGCCAAGCCATGGGGTACAATATGCTGCAGCACGAAGGCACGACATGGCACCTCCAAAAGTCCCCTAGCACTGGAACAACAGATAAACATTTTCTCTCGCTGCCGTGGAAGGAAGAGAAAACCAAAGAACAAATCAAAGCAGCACCCAAGGGGCCGAGATGATGGGAAAAAAGGGTGTTTTGTACAGAAATAACACGGCTCTTCATTAAGCCTGTGGCACGCAGCTCCTTGGGTGAAGCAGAGCAGCAAGGTGCAGTCAGGAGGCCCCACCTTCCACCCAGCCACTGCTCG